TTTCATTTCATTTCATTTCATTTCATTTCATTTCATTTCATTTCATTCATTGGTCCCAGTGACAATGACATATTCTCTCTCTTTGGCTGAGGAAACTGAGGCTCAAAGAGACCAGGTGATTTATCAGATTCATGCAACCTTGGAGGCAGAATTCAAACCACCATGTCTGATGAAAATCCCCTTTGGGGCGCCTGGGTGGCTCAGTTGATTAAGCAACTGCCTTTGGCTCAAGTCATGATCCTGGAGTCCCGGCATAGAGTCCCACATCGGGCTCCCTGCTCGGCGGGGAGTCTGCTTCTTCCTCTGACCCATTTCCCTCTCGTGCTCTGTATCTCTCATTCTCTCTCTCTCAAATAAATAAATAAAATCTTAAAAAAAAAAAAAAAAGAAAATCCTCTTTGTAGGACATGGGGTCGCCCCTCTGAGAATGAGTTCTGGAGGAGGGGGTGTGGTGTGGGAGATATATATGGCATGCCCTACCACCTAGACAGTGAAAGGAGCCCTGGACAGAGTCGGGGGACCTGGGTACCAGCCCAGGTCACAGTGTGAATCCATATTCATGTGGCCATGGCAGACCTGCTGAGCTCCCCTCCAAATCCACGTTATGTAAACCTTCTTCATTTAGGTAAATGCACTACCCTTCACCCAGATGCTTAGGCTAAAATTCTAGGGGCCATCCTTGATGCCATCCCTCCCTTTACCCCCTGGGGCCATCAGCACCACTTGGCCCAATTCCACAATCTATCCCAAATTCAGTCACTTTTCTCCACCTCCTCTGCTCCTACCATGATCCAGGCTATGAACCTCAGTTTTCCAGATCAGGTCTCCTCCCCCTCCTCCTCCCCACTTGGATCTGATTTAAACATCTGAGTCAGGTCACGGCTTAAATGGTGACATTCAAAATCCCTGCCATGGCTTATTGGTCCCACAAGACCTGGCCCCCTACTATTTCTCCCCTCCTCACTCCCTCTACTCTGGCTACACTGGTGTCCTGGCTGTCCCTACCACATGCCATCCACAAGCTGAATCCTGACCTCGGTCTTGCCCTGGCTGCATCAATCCTGTCTCCATTTTATCTTCTTCCCAGGTTGATCCACACCGGATAGTCTCTTATTTGCTTATTTATGTTCATTTTCTGACACTCCCTACCCAACAGGTAAGCTATGGGCTTTCCTATCTGAATTCCTAGCCAGCTGCCTGCTACATACCAGGTGCTCAGTCAAGGTCAGGCTGTCTGGCTGACTCACTTTGCACAAGTCCCTCTCTTCTCTGGGCCTCAGTCCCCTCATCTGAAAAGGTGCCCCGATTCTCCTTGCCCTGACTCCTCCTGGAGCGGCTCTGAGGCTCAAATGAGGTGGTGAATATAACGAATGAACTTCGCAAACTATAAAGTTCTGTGCCCTAGGGAGACATCGTGCCATTTTTCTTCCACCTGTTCTCCTGGCATTCACCCTCCTTTCCAAATGATAGGACTCAGAACACTTGCTTATTGAGACCCTCTCCTTTTTGCTTCCTGAAATTAGGTGGTCTGCTCTTCCCAGAAATGTCTGCCTTGTCCCCAGAAACCCAACCCTTTGGCATCTAAACTAGGCCTCCTAGGTGTTCTCAGTGGTACATCTTTTGCCACGTGGCAGGTCTTGGCTTACGGATCAGAAAATAGGCCCAGCAGTGCTCCCCACAAGCCCACCAGCTTATATATTTCTTTCCCTTAAAGGCATACCTCAGATGGTGGGGACAAGCCACAGGCCCTCTGGGGGGATCCCCTTCTTCCTACATGGACTGGAACCCAATTTTGGATGTTTGTGCCAGTGGCCAAGAAGTTCCTCCTGCTCATTCACAGGAGGCTCCCCATCTCACTTTCACATTTCCTTAACCTCCATCCAGGTTCCTAGGTAGGACAAGATCCAATAGGTTTGGAAATGTTTGCAGCTGCCAGGGAATTTGCCATTTAGTTATTTGCAAATACCTGGTAGGAGATGAAGGGAGAAAGCTGTGCTTTTACTCAGAGAGCTGGAGCCCCGGAGGCAGGAAACCTGTGTTCTTTCATTCATTCATTCAACAAACTTGTATTGAACTCCTGTGGGCACTGGAGGGCACTGGAAATACAGCTTGGAACTAGACAGACAGATGCAGTTTCTGCCCTCATGGAGTATGGTTTATAAATGTGTGTCTGTAACAAGAAAAAAACAAGAAAAATAAAGATGTAAATAAGGAAATATCCAAAACAATTTGAAATAGCTCTGCATGGGGTGCTTGGGTGGCTCAGGTCATGATCTCTAGGGGTCCTGGGATGGAGCCCCATATCTGACTCCCTGCTCAGCAGGGAGTCTCCTCCCTCTTCCTCTGCCCCTCCCCCTGCCTCTCCCTCTGCCCCCTCATATGCTCACTCTCAAATAAATAAATAAAATCCTAAAAAACACTCTCAAATAAATAAATAAAATGCTAAAAAATTTTGAAATAGCTCTGCGAACTACAAAGGGAATGACATCAGATAGGAGGGAAGGAGTGGGGATGCTGTTCGGTGGGGTGGTCAGGAAAAGCATCTCTGGAAGATGACCTTTTGGGAGAGAACAGAAAGGTGAGAGACTGGCCATGCAGAGTCCTCTGGACAAGAAATGTCCAGCAACATGCTTGATATGTTTGAGGAACAGCCAAGAGGTGAGAAGGTTGAGTGCAGTGGGGCAGCAGGGAGGATAGGAGATGCCTGGAAAGGCAGGCAGGAGCCAGCTCCTATAGGGCCTCATAGGCCATCCTGTCATCATTCATTTTTCTTTCATTCCTTCATTCAACACATATTTATTAGGCATCTCCTGTGCGCTAAGATACACGGAGACCCTGCCCTCGCAGTCTAATGTGTGGAGAGACACACAATAAACAGATAAACAAATATATGAATATAAATACCAGGTACGATAAATATTAGGAAGTACTGTTTTCCAATAGTTCAACACCCTTTAAGGGCAGAGGCGCTTGAGACCTAAGAGTGGGGCTGCTTCTGCTTGTGAGGCCGGCTGGACCTGAGAACCCAGGCGGCAAAGAACCCGGCCGCCTTCCCTGTCTGCTCTCCTCTCCTCTCCCTTCCCCTCAAGATGGCTGACAAAGGCCCAGCAGGGTGGGAGGAAGGACCGGTCCGAGGGTCCAGAGGGGGTGACTGACTGGCTGGGGCACGGCAGCGCCCAGGTGACATTGCGGCTGGAGGTGGGGGTAGAGGGGAGACTCCGCTGCTGTGTGACTCCCGTGGGGGCACGTCCCTCTCTGGGCCGCGCATCCTGCTCAGGGTGGGGGGCGGGGAAAGGGGTTCTCCCGGCTGAGTCCCAGTGTGTGTATGTGTGTGTGGGGGGGGTGATGTCGGCTAAGGCCCCATCAAGGTCTGTTAGCCCGATGGGTGATTTAACAGGCGGAGGGGGGACAGGAGGCGGCGCCTGTGGAGGAGGGGCGGAGGGGAGGCTCCGAAGTGATTTCAAATTTCCCTCGTCCCCACCCCCCATTCCCCCCCCCCCACCCCTCGCGCCCGGGGCCGGCTCTGAGTGGCTGCGGCGGGGGCGCCCCCGGGCGGGGGCGGGGCGAGCGCCAGGCCGGGGTTACAAGGGGCCTCGGCACCGCCCCCTCCCCACCCACTCTCGCCGCCCGGTCCGGCCTGAGCTGCCTCGGCGCAGCAGCCGCCCCCCAGCCCCGCGGCCGCAGCCCGCGTGGACGCTCCGAGCGCCCCCCGACGGACGCAACCGGCCCACTGGCAGGCCGGCGAGCGGGCGGCCGCCGCGCCAGGCCGGCAGCGCGGGGGTTAAGTGGCCCAAGTAAACGTAGTTCGGCGATCGGCGCCGGAGATTCGCGAGCCGAGCGCCCTGCGCGGCCGCCCGCCGGCCTCCCGCCAGCCTGTCCCGACCCGCGGCTCGCCCGCAGAGCGGCGCCCGAGCCAGGTTCTCGGCAGGTGAGCGCCCCGTGGCCCCGGGGAGGCTCGTCAGTCCGGGGGTCCGGGCCTGGTGGGGGAGGGGACAGCGGAGGGGTCCCGGGACTGCCAGGAGGGACCCTTTTACTGGGACGTCCGGGGGAGGCGGCTCCCATCCGGCTGGAGACCCGGCATGGTAGGGGACGACGGGTGGACCACCTGTGGCAAGAAGGAAAAAGGGGGGGAGGACATGTGACTTGAAGGGATACGAGTGGAATACTCATGCTCTATTCCCAAGACCCCGAGGGAGAGAAGTTCGTCCCCAGGGAGGGAGACGAGTTGGCCTTCTTGGGGTCTAGAGTCGAGGGGAGGACGTGTCCCTCCGGAGAGGCGTGGAGGAAGAAGGTTCGGTCATTGGGAGGGGGTGTCCTTACCTGCCCTCGGCTTCAGAGCGAGCCTCCTTAGAGGCGGGGGAAGGAATTCAGCCAGGAAGGTGGGCGTCCGTCCCTCATGACTTGGACCTGTGGGTTTCAGGCGAAGGGACCGTTCCCCCCCCCCCGCCCAGGGATAGAAGGTAACTGATGTGCGGGCGAGCAGGTGGGCCAGGGTGTGCGCCAGAGGGGCGGTCTTTCGGGGTCCTGCCTAGATGAGCCACCCCGGCGAGGCACCGCGGGGCTGCCGTGACGCCCTCGGGAGGGGTTGCCGTGTCTCTGTCCACACCTGGCGGGGGAGGAGCCGGGTCGGGGTGGCGCCGCCCTGCCCCGGTCACACTGCCTTCCCTGGGGGCCCACTTTCCATTTTTCCCCTCTTCCGGGATGAAGCTGGTCCCACTTCCCACACTCCACAAACTGAGGTCTCAAAAGCTGTAGCGCCACCTCCCAGAAGAACAGCATCCCTCCTCTTCTGATTGTTGGAGGGTAGGTGATGAGTCCCTCTTCGCAGGAGAAAAAGTGGAAGCCAAGAGAGACTGTGGGGTGAACTTAGAAAGTTAGTAGCAGGGAGCCGTTCTTGGGCTCAGGCTTTCCTGCTGGATTCACTCACCTGTGGCAAAGAAGGGCAGCCGTCTGGGCCCAGCCCCAGGCCTGTGTTTCGACCTCCACCTTGCCCTTCCCCCTTATCATACCCCTGGCCTGAGAGACTGAGCCCTTGTGCTTCCTCGTCTCCCCCCGGACCCCCCAAAGTGAGAGGGTGCATGAAGTAAAGACAGTTAAGTACGGTATGAGTTTTGAACCGCCTCCTGATTTGTGGGTGCTGTGGGTTTGGACTGGTGGTAGTTTTGCGGGGGAGGGATATCCCTTCTGGGGCCCTCACGTGGAGGGCCCAGAGCTACCCCTGCCCTCCTCTCCAACACCTGCTGTGGCTTTTTGAGGCCACCCCTCACCCCGCAGTGGGTTCTAAGGTTGCCATGATTTTTCCAGGGTGGAAATGATGATAGGGCTGGTATACAGTAACCATTCAAAGAAAGTCTGCCACTGTTATCATTCTTGCGAGGTAAGCTGGCTGCCCTCTTTTAAGGACATGCGTAGGTCTTTGCATGTATTTAAATCTGCCCCACCAAGTCCGTTTCCCTCTGTGGTTATAGTTATTACATCTGTGAAATAGCAACAGTCTTACTAATTCCAGGTTGTGTAAGAATGAAATCAGTTTTATGCACGATTTAACCTCTAACCCTCCATATTCCTTAGGTGTCTGATGGGTGGAAATAGCCCCTACCACACTGGGTTTGGTAAGGGCTTGATGGGGTAGTGCTTGGTATAGCATGTGATGAATGATGACATCTGTATTAGTTAACCAATAGCCCCTATTTTTAGGGTAACCATTAATGAGAACAGGAGTTGAAGGGAGGGACCTCTGCTGGCCCCGCCTATCCTGCCTTCCTCCTAGGTACTCTATTCCTCTCAGCTATGAAAGCTTTTCCAAATCATTGTCTTCAATTTGGGAGTTGGCAGGAAGGAACGCCTTTGTTCCCTTTTGAAAGGAGCCAGGGTTTTCTTTTATGGGTTGGGGCCATTTTTACCACCACCCCCCCCCCAAAATCTTGAGGCCTACCTTGGAGGCGTAATTGCAGACCTAAGTGAGGTCCTTTACCTTTCCCTGTTGGGGTGGAGAGGGCCCAGACAAAGGAGTTGGGGCTGGCTGCATCCTGCTCCTTAAAGCCATAGTCATAGCCACCCCCCTTCAAAGGCTAGAAGGGGAGGGAGCTGTAGGGGGTGAAAGGGAGGAGCAAGGGAGGTGGGGGGTGGGGGAGGCTGCTTCCCTTCCTTTCCTTCCTCCAGCCACGTGGGGCCTGCAACCAAATGGTGCCTGTCACCCCTCATTATTGCAGCCCTGGGGACCTGCCTCCAATGTGGGGTGTGGGCAAGTTCTCCCCTTTCAGGAAAACTTACCTTAGGATTCCTTTTGTCTGGGACGCCTGGGCAGCTCAGTCGGTTAAGCGTTTGCTTTCTGCTCAGGTCATGATCCCAGGGTCCCTGCTCAGCGGGGAGCCTGTTTCTCCCTCTGCCTATTTCTCCCCCTGCTTGTGCTCTTTCTCTGATAAATGAATAAATAAAATCTTAAAAAAAAAAAAAGGATTCCTTTTTTCTCAGACCAGCTCTCATGCCAGCTGTCCAGCCTTCAGGCTCAAGACACCTTTTCCAATTGCATCAGAAATTAACGCCTCCTGGGTCCTGGGTCCTATACCATGACAACTACCCGCCCCTCACCCCCCCCCCCCCCCCCCCCCGCCCCATCATCCAGCCCTTGGTAGGTACAGGGCCTCAGCTCTGGCCAGAATCATTCTTGTGTTAGTGAGGTGTTTGTTTTTGTTTTTGTTTTTTTAGATTTTATTTATTTGCAGAGAGAGACAGAACAGAAACACAAGCAGGGGGAGTGAGAGAGGGAGAAGCAGGCTTCCTGCCAAACAGGGAGCCCAATGCAGGAATTGATCACAGGACCCTGGGACCATGACTTGAACTGAAGGCAGACGCTTAACGACTGAGCCACCCAGGTGCCCCATTTTTTTTTTTTTTAAATTGTGAACTCGGGTTGATTTTTCAGTTTCTTGGTGGACCAGAGAAGTGCAGAATTCCTCATTTCATTAGCAGACCATCCTTTTCTTTGTAAAGTGATGGGCAGATTTGTCTCCCTTCTGGTGGGGGCTGATCTCGTCCTCTTGTAGCTGATGGGACCAAGGTGCTATGCAGCCCACTTGCTTCCACACCTTGGTGGTTAGTGCTTTTCAGGACACTGCACATCTGCTGCCATCCCAGGGCAGTGCCTCCCTCCAGAAGAGAACAGCCCACTGCGGGTGCTCCTGTATCTGGCCGTGGCTAGAGGAAGTGGCCTGGTGAATGCAGAGCAAGCCTGCACATGGATCACATTTCTGGAGATCCTCGTTCCCATCTGTGAAGTGGGTAAAAGTCCACATCTACCCAGTGTAGTTATATCATCAGGACTAAATGGAATCCAGATCCTTTTATTTTAGTTGTTCATTCACAAAATAGAGGGGGGTCCCTAACCTAAGTACAGTTGACCCTTTTAACAATGTAGGGGTTAGGGACACTGCCTTCCTGCTCTCCCCGCACTTGAAAATCCAGTTTAACTTGACTCCCCCCAAGTTGAATCGCCTACTGTTGACCAGAAACACTACTGATAACAGTCTGTTAACATATTTTTCATGTTACATGTATTCTGTAATTTATTCTAAGAGTAATACCTAACTTAATTTTTTTTGTATTTTTACTATGCAGTTCATATGAGTTTTTTCAAATTATTGGAAGTCTCCAAAATTTTCAGTATATATGCTGAAAAAAATCAACATATGACACATGGAGTTCAAACCCGTATTGTTCAGTGTCGGCTGTATTCTAAAAAACCTGTTATCCACTGGGTTATATTATCCGTCTGAGTCAACAAAGGGGTTTGGGCCTTAGAATCAAGTCGATTCATGTACATATTCACTCCATGTATAAGTCACTGGCTTCATCCTCAGTTGTTCCATCTGTACATCGGCCAACAATGGTGGGCCAATTGCAGGGGATATTTAAGTCAGTTGAGTTGCTCTAGATTAAAAAATTCAGTAAATGTTGCATGTTATGGGGGCCCCTGGTTGGCTTAGTTGGAAGAACATGTGACTCTTGATCTCCTGTTGTGAGTTCAAGGTCTATGTTGGGTGTAGAGATTACTAAGAAAATAAAAAATACTGCATGTTATGTAGTAAACACTCAAATATTGGCAAGTGGCTATTATTTACTTCCTGAGGGAAATAATCCCAGTTAGCATTCCTGAGTTTTTTTCCAGGGAATAAGCAAAGAATGAGGAGGGCCTGCTCTGTGTAGGGAATTGAAATATTTTAAAAAATGACATTCAAGAAATACTTGAGGCAAGTGAAAATCAAATTTACCATCCTCCGATGCTAAGAAGAAACTAGTCATCACCTGTAATTTCACAACCCCGAAAGTAATCAATGTTTTGCTTTCATTTTGGGGCCTCTCCATTTCAATGTAGACAGGACCAGGAGGCCTTTCTAAAAGAAGGGACCGGAACCCAAGGAGAGGACGGAGTGGCAAGGAAACGTGGCTCAATCGGTGAAGTCTTTTTTTTTTTTTAAAGATTTTATTTATTTATTTGAGAGAGAGAGAATGAGAGATACAGAGCACGAGAGGGAAGAGGGTCAGAGAGAGAAGCAGACTCCCTGCTGAGCAGGGAGCCCGATGTGGGACTCCATCCCGGGACTCCAGGATCATGACCTGAGCCGAAGGCAGTCGCCTAACCAACTGAGCCACCCAGGCGCCCCAATTGGTGAAGTCTTTAGCACTATGGTCACCATTGGGGCTGCCTTCCCACGCAGCTGGAGGACAGTGTTCGAGAGCAGTGGGAAAAGATTCTCTGGAATCTGCCACCATTGGCTTCTGCTATTGTTTTTTTACCAGCTTGCCTGATCAAAGTTGCCTCTCACTTCTCCGGCGGAGATTTTCATTCATTAAAACCTTGCGATCTATGGGCTCTGCCTTACTGCAAACCCCTGCCTGCCCTCTGCCTTCTCTCTCTGCTTTAGTTTT